GTCGAGCGCGAGAATGGGCACTGACGTGCGGTACTTCGGTCGAAGCTGCGTTTCCCTCTTGGGCGGAGCTGAAATTGCAGCTCTCACGGGTGTTCTCGCCGCCTAACCAGGCATATCGCGTGCGAGCGCATTTCCTCGCCGCCCGACAGGGCAACAAGGAATTGGTGAACTTTGTCCAAGAGATGTGTACTCTTATTGCCAGGATGGCAGCAGATCCCCTTCCTGAGGCGGTCAGAGTGACCGTCTTTATGGAAGGCCTCCGCACTGGCGTGGTCATAGGAAGTTTTCCGTGTGCATCCATCTTCATTTGAAGGGGCGGTGAATGAGGCATTGAATGCCGAATCCAATTTCAAGTCGGCACGACTTAGTTGTAATGCACACCCTAACGACTCGTCGAGCGGGTTTGTGCCCATGGATCCAGCTATGCTGAGGACGAGGGAGCAGAGCTCCGAGATGCCAGGCAGCACGCAAACACACGACGGTGTTTTGTCTGTGGAAACACCTGTCACCTTCGGAACGGCTGCCCCTTGCGCAAGGCGCGTCAAGGTTCTTCGAACCATCGCCCCAATGCCTAACGGTCTGGTTCGTCGCGGAAAACGACACCGCCCGGGTAGGCGCGGGGCTCCCTAATGGGGAAAAACTGAATTCCGTTGAGCTCAGGGGGGTAGAGGTCAACAGATATATATATATATAGTGTATTTAGGAAATCTAAACTTATAAAATTAGGATAAAAAATAAATAAGAGTCAGTTTTGAATGTAAACCGAAGAGTCAATTAGTCTTGGAAAGGCAATAATTACTCTTGGAGTAAGCGGATTGCGATCCGCTAGCTCATACTTGGTTCTTGTAAAGAACGAAAGGCCGGTGACCTAAAGTTCGTTTCCTCAAGCGCTTAGCTACGGCAGCCCCGCTGCATATTGTCATTAGGGCTTAGAGCAAACCTTAAAAGTGTTAAGTGCGAACCATGATAAAGTTACATAAGTAGTACCTGGTACGCATGAGGTTGATGACACTTCGTCCATGGGGCACGCGTGCTGCAAACTATGCACCAAGTAGGGTGTTAAATCACAGATTGGAAGATGATCATTATTTCTAATTTTTTGTTGCGCTTTAATACAAAGCACTCTTAAGATGGGAGTAATATGTGATACTTGTTAGGCTCTTGGATCCGTGCCTGGGTGAATTATGCGAACTCAAACTCCTAGCTTTGCCGAATCGATTTGTTTTGAGGCAGAACTTCAATTGTGCAAGATACACTGCAACCCCGTTGCAACCACTATAGCGTATGTATCACGCTCGAGGAGTATCTACGCTACAATGTTGAGCCAATGTCAATCGTTTTCTGTAGTGGTTGTCGACACCACTAGAAGCAAAGCAGAAAGGAATGTTCCTTTTTGTCGTCCATTTCTTGGATTTAATGTAGCTCATACGCTCTCGATTTACAATAAAAATGCTGAGTGATAAACTCAAACGTACTGTAACACATCTTTTTGGCTAAAATAATGAGCTCTCACTTAACTCAGAACTGAGATCTTGCTTATTCCGTTGATGACCTCAAATTATTCTGTCGAGTATCAACAAAAAACATGATTCTTCTACTCTGTACGTCTTAGATCTGTCGGCAACAATCATCATAACCACTCACGGTAGTCTAGCAGTTTACCGAGACCAAACGTCCAAGCTAACTTTCAAGAGCTCAACAACTAACTTAGTAAGATAAATTTATAGCGAAGCATCTGTTAGAATTGATCTGACACTCTTGCATTCAATATAAAATCTGGATAGGTGGCTCCAGCTTCAACCCACCGACCACATTCTCTTGAAGTTATATCTCATCCGACTCTTTGACCCTCTAGCATAGTCGTCTAATGCTTAATCTAAGATGCAAAGGAGAGCAGCAAAGAAAGAGTCAGATGTTGCAACTGTTTGTAAAGATTCCAGCATAATGCGATGCTTAACGTAAATCTTCAGACTTCCTGAGGTACCAGTTCCCTAATGATGTGAGAGCCACGATGTCTTAAATATGCAGGGCTTCAAGTCGAAAAGATATTTTTAATATTCAAAATCTTTTAATATTCTAAGTATGACGTTAGTGCTAGTGTTCAGATCCTCCGAAACGCTTGACAATCTTGATGGATACATGGATCCATACCTCATCCTCAGATCGCAATTTTTGCTGTAATCAATGGAACGAAAGGCATTCCTAGAAGCAGTGGACAGGAACAATCATACGTTGCCCACAAGTCGCTTCACCTTATTTCTCCGAGTTCATTCAGCTCAGAATCTTGCAACGACGCAACGTGGTTCATACTGCAAACTTTATCTTGGCAACACTAATGTAATATCCGAATCTGCTTCGATCAAAGCATCGCTTAGTCATTTCTTAGTGGCCGACAGTACTCAAGAGAGACAACCTCCTCCACCTTATCGAGTCTTTCGCACTAAAGTGGTGTATACGAATCAAAGTTCTTGTCCAGAATGGAACGAAAAGCTTGAGCTTGACGTGTTTAATCCGAAAACAGAGATCTTGACAATACGAGTGAAAAGTCAAATGCTTTTCTTTTGTCCTGTAATTGGTGTGTGTGCGATTCCTCTTTGTAATGTTCAAGTGGGAGAGCTAGTGGATCAATGGTTCCATCTTTACAAGCAAGAGAAGCCCGTGGGTCACATCCGTCTTCAATTGATGTTGAAGGAGAACAACACTGTTAAGAATCTCTCTCATGTTGTAGCAAGTGAGTCGACAAAGCATAGATCTTGTCATCGATATTCTCAACAAGATCATGAATGTCACCACTCAGTTCCAAGTCATAAGTCCAGATGTAGTGTCTATCATGAAGAGCGAGATGAAGGTAACAGAATGGAGGTAACCAAGGAACAAGGACTTACTGAAATGTCGAAACGAGAGCAAGTAACTACAATGGAATTCAAGCAAGACGATCAAGAACAACAGCTGGAAGAAAAGTTGACGAAGATAAAGGTGATGGAAGATGAGACTAGCAAGTTTAGCAGCAAGAGTTCCAGTCTAGCCAATGACGACGCAATGTATAGAGGACGATCAGGTCTGACGGGAATGAAGCAAAACTTGGCTGTTGCAGAGAAAGAATGTCGGACAAATGTGGGATCAGGAAGAAATACGGACGATGCCTTGCCTTTGACTTACTCGTCATCGGATGAAAAAGATGTAAAGCAGTCGAGACGGCGGAGACGGCGCAAGAAAGACACGAAACGAAAGGATCGTTCGAGGAATCAGAAATACGTACAACAGTCTTCGACAACTACTTCACAAGCGGATACACCTCAAAACACGACAATATCTCCTTCTGCAATGGACTCATCCAGCTCCAATGAAACCTCTTCTTCTGAAATAAAACGTCGTCATCATCGGCACAAGGCTAGAAAATCCAAGAAGAAGGTACGCTGTCATCGATGTAGATCGAATCGAAGAGCTAGTCGAGCGTCTGATGACGAGGAATCGACTTCTTCATCTTCTTCTTCATCATCATCTGTATCTTCTTTATCAGATGAACGAAGCAGACACAAGGCAAAGAGTTCCAAGAAGAAAAAAGTTAGAGCACGATCGCAGGGTCAAAGCAAAGCAAGTTCTGTACATGCTTCGTCGAGCTCAAAGTGGAATAAATCTGATCACTCCAGCTTATCAGGCCGCCAATGCAATGATTCTCCATCATGTGACTCGAATCCTCAACATAAAGTAGGATCCTCGTCAGGGTTTATTCAGGCATTGCCTCCCCAGCCGCAGCAAAAATGGTCAATGACGGAAAAGATCAGAACTGCTGCAGACATGGCGTCGATTTTGTCTGACATGGCGTCTGTAGCGGCAAGTGTTCACCAAATAACTGGAGGTGGTGATGTCAGCGACACTTTCTTTGACGTACAAGTACCAAACATGAACGAATGTCTCGTAGACCAAAACCTTACAGAATCGGGAGTCTAAGCTAATGGTATTCGGTCAGTTCAAGCCTATTGTTGCATACAACTCGAGATTACGTCTCGTACTATAAAACTATAAGACAAGTATCTTGTACATCTGGATAATCTGGTCAGAATGTTTTAGATTTGCAAACCCCACCAGACTCATTTAACCCTGACACCATCGTCATGTCTTTACTTTCTTTCAGCAAGGCATAGGTTCAGCAATTTTCATTTCTTTCTTCAGTCGTTCCGTAACCTTCCAATGTCCCGCTTTCGAGCATTTACAACGTCCTTGGGGTTTCGCGTCAGTAACGACATTCGTCGATCTTCGACTGACCAGTTCTCCATCCATCAACCACCCGATACCATGTCACTACGACCGCAAGATGGTAACTTTACGCTATATCTACGTGTGCATTCCGCACGAAAGTTGAATACTGTAGCTCAAGGGTCTTACTGTAAACTGTATATTGGAGACACGTCTATTGTCGGTGGATTTGGTCAATGGAAATCTCTTGTACGATTTCAGAAAAGTCAAGGTGACCGTCATCGTACATTTCATACTAAAGTCCAGCTCAGTGCTTCAAGAGATTGTCTTGAATGGAACGAGAAGTTTGAAATTAGTGTGAGCAATCCAAACGTCGAAATTTTGACTATTCGTGTGAAGAATCACGTTGCGATATATAGTCCAGCTATTGGAGCGTGTGTGGTTCAGATGCACCATCTTCGACTTGGACAAACTAGTGATGCATGGTACCCACTTTACAACGGTAACAAACGTAGTGGTGACATTCGATTGCAAATTCGTTTACAGAAAAATGTTGTTCTACAACGTTTATCACAAGGTTGTGAGGCAACAGTGGAACGATTGATGCGACAACATCGAGAGTTGGTAGAGACACAACGACGAGAGGAGATGACAATGAACGGAAAGAATCAAGTTAGACTGAAACAGTATCAAAACAGTGAAGAGGATTGGAGAGAACGTTGTGCGAGAAAATTACAGCAGGAGCAGCTGCTAGAAAATTATGACGATTCAATGTTAAATTCGGAAGCTGATTTGAAAGTGCGAGCTGAGAACGACTTGAAGTCGGGATTACTTCCGAGTTTTAAGTACCGTGATGTTATTAAGAAGGAGCATGTTGTGACGCAAGAAATGAAGGACATGAGTTTACAGACAATTGCGGAGAGAAACACTGAAAGCGTGGGAAGATTTGATGCCTTGAATGGATACACTGTCGCGAATACTGATTTCAGAAATACCACAGAAGGCTGTTCGAGCCAACAGGCTTTTAAAATTGGCACGAATCAATTGTCGACGGAAGATCTTCACCAAGTAGTACAAAATGCACTGCCTACGTCGGATTCGTCGGAATCATCGTCGAGTAGAGATCGGTATTGTCGGCAACGGAATCGCCGCAAAAAGCGAGAGGGTGATGTACGAAAACATCGAAATGAGCGGCAAACAACTTACAGCGATGAAATTTCTGACGAAAGCGCTCAAAGTTTGTCGAAAGAAAATTCTATGTTCTTCGATAACAGATACCGGAACAAACATCAAAGCCGAAAGGGCTCGATCATGGATAGTGACCAGCCCAATGAATGCATTGAAACTTCATTTCAAGAAGATCACTTTCGTCGCGGCCGCATTCAAGCCAAAAAATTGGAGGGACGAGAGACTAAAACGAAAAGCAGAGATAAGCGGATGAGCAGAAGCGGTGAGAAAGGCTATTTGTCTTCATCTTCCATGTCGTCGTCGGAAGAAGAACGCGAGCTCACCTGGCGTGTCACTTGAGGCAATCATGCAAGTTACTGCAAAGGGGATAAATGATGCTGTACCTGAAGCAAATAGAGCGTACTCTGTGGTATTCGGTGTGGAGCACTGTCGCCACGCACAAAAATGGCTCAAGAAACTACCTTTTTTTGATACGCTTGATTGAATACACTTGATTTTATATCTCCGGATGCAAAGTAGAATTAGCTCCTACTCAGCTTATAACTATTAAAGGATTCATTTTATCATCACTGACGGTGAGCCAAGCTCTTCAAGTTTGCTGCTCGTCTTTGAACACTTGGAGAAAGGTCGATGCATAACCAGCATGCGTCAAATTTGATTATGCTTCATCAAACGACCATAGTTGACATATCTTTATCGACTACTGAACATTTCGATAATCGTGTAGAAATTAATCATAGAAGTAAAAAAGCATGTGCAGAAGGAATTGAGCACCGTCATGACAGACGTTAATCCATGTTGCGAGATGCATACAAGCCCTTCTTTCAATTTCTAGAATTGGATTGTAGGCAAAAACATTGTAAAAGGGTATGTACAGTGGATGCTGTACAACTGTACGAATATCACATTGAGTTTGGTTAATATCATACCTTCATGAAAGTCATTCCTAAGGTAGCAGAGTAAACTAGGTAATCAATTACTTTGGAGGCTCATGATTCTCGGGTGAAGCGTACGAACTAAGTATTTGTTCGTTTATTCACGCGGGCTCTTTGAGCCAAAATCAAAGTGCACGGCGGCAACTTGGAAGCACTTGTTATCAATCCACTGGATAAGTCGTGAAAGAATTGCTTTTTAATGTGGTCAAAGCACGAGTTGGTCATTCACCTGCTCCCGAGATAATAAGACACTCAAAAGGTTATGTTCATTGTTGGTCCGAGAGGGTCAGGGAATTGGCGGCGAAAGAACCAGCTCGCCTGGATAAACAGCTTATAAGATGCGCCGGTGAGACACCACAAAGAGCGCCCCAACTAGGCATTACTGGGTGCACAGATTCCATATGCCGTGAGGCCACCAAATTTAACTTTCAGCCTTTTAAATAAAGAAATGCAGGGACGAAAACCTATGGATGAAATAGGTGGAGATGACCGTAAATTCGACCTTCCTCAAATGGAGCACGCATGCGGTGGCTAAGCTTGATGACCGCGCGCGAAAATGGGCACTTACGTGTAGTACCTCTGTGGAAAAGGCATCCGCAATCTAGAAATATTTGAAGCGACGTGCTAGCTGGCGCTTCGGGTTCTTGCCCCCCCCGCTTCAAAGCAGACAGACATGAACAAATGTACCGCAATGGCTTCAGGCTGTTCCCTAGAGACGATAATGATTACCATCTTGATAGACTTGAAGCGGGTGTGGCTCGGACAACGATCTTCTGCATCAAAGCTATCTATCTTGAGATAGTAGCGGGTGTTGCGTTTGATACGCAACCCAACCTTCCTGCCGTCAGGTCCAGATGACGCCATCGGAAGGAATATTGCTCTAAGTGCACCAGAAGCAATAATTTTTCAGTCATAGAGAAAGAGCTCTTCGCTGCTAAGAAATCTGATGGTATTAGCAGATGTTCCATCCGCGGTAGAACAAAATATTGCGTCTTCTGCTGACCATCCACAAACAGTTAAACGGTGACGAATAATACAATGTGGAGCTGAACGCTTTGATAATGCGATTTTGCGAGAGAATGTGAAGTTAGATTTAGCGGCGCATAAAATTTAGAAATCTGGTTAAGAGATCACTACAACTAAATAACTAATTCTAACATCAGTTTATTAATTAACTCATTTCAAAACCCAAAAATTACATTAAGCAACGACAGCAGTAACATGCTTCTCAGATTGACAATCAGTCAACTTCTCTCTAACAGAAGAATTCTCCATTCCCTTCGATTGCTTTTCTTGCTTACAATTCAAGAAATAAATTTCGTTTGAGCGTGCACGACAATGAAAATGCTCTAAATTCGACAAAGCAGATGAATCAAACGTTTCAAATGGTAACGTTTCCAAATCTTCTTTTGATTCCACTGTCTCATTGTCAATCTTGAAATCTGGAAGATACTGTTTCAATTGCAGTTGAAATTCGTAAAGTCTTACTGTCTCTTTTTGCACTTGTCGTAACTTCTTGTCCAATTGTTGTTCATATTTCACCAGATGCGTTGGCAATTGTTCAACATGTAACGGTTGAGTTTCGAAAGTCTCAAGAATTTCAAAAGATGGTTGTAACGGGGTTACACTATCTTCTACATTTCGATCAATCGTAAAACTGTCTTTTTGTAACTCAAGTGGTCCACACGATAGTTTCGCACGTCGACGTTCTTGTCGTTCGTTTTCTAGTTGTAAATGCTTTTCAAGAAGTCGTTCAATCGCTTTATCAGCTTCATAAAGTGCATTTCTTGCTGCAACAACATCTTCATTTGGCTGTCTCCTTCTTGCTACCAACTTGTCAATTTTTCGATCAATTTCCGTAACCAAAAGCATAACTCGAAGTCGACCTGCAGATTTCTTTCCTTTTTGTAATGGATACCATTGCTGTAACCATTTTCCAGGCACGAAATTCTTCAATGAGACTGCACATGTACCAATAACAGGACAATATAATAAATGCTGACTTTTCACACGAAAACTCAAGATCTGGGTCTTTAAATCCATATTTGGGTGAATCAAAACCTCAAATGTTTCATCCCAAATCGTTTCAAAGTCAATTGACTGTTGATGTTGTGTACATGTACGTCGCACTTGAAAATGCCAAGTTTTCTCATCTTGATCAACACTTGAGACATCCAACGAAGTCTTACAAGTTCGACTTCCTTCAATCATAATTGAGGATCCAAGATAAAGTTTACAGTAAGCACCTTGTGACGATGAATGTTGTATATCTTTCGCACTATATACACGTAGTACAAGTTTATAACGAGGAAGACTGAGGTGAAGTGGAGAAGCCATAAGACGCAGCAGATCGAAATTTGGAGCATGCTTCAATCATAGGAAAAGAAGTGGTACATGGTACCAGCGAAATATAGTATCATAAATGTAGTAGTAATCGATAAGGAAATACTAAAAAGTACGGTACTATTGTAAATCACGAGTTTTTACTAAATCATTACATTGTATAATGTTTCAATAAGTGTCGTCAGACGCATGGAGATGATTCAATTTCTTTAATAATTGACGAACTTTCATTTCGCGACCACCGGTTTGTAGTTGACTTTGACTTTCATTATCGTCGTCATATTGTCTGGAAATTCGTTGTATCCTTGACTTGATTCCACTCTATAAACGTCAAAAGAAATGTATCAGTATTATACTTTGACGAAATGAAAAGAGTGTTAGAACTACCGAAACTTCGTCAACATTTCGATGATATCGTGTTTTCTCTCCATTCGCTATCCCATGAAGTGAATTTCGTATGTTTTCCATCCGTTTGTCAAAATCTAAAATACCAAGTAAGGGAAGAGAATGAAAGTAAAGACACAAGTAAAACTTACCTTTGAACATATCTTCAGTGTTTGAAAAGTTTTTCGAATCATTCGAGAATAATGTCGTGATTGTATGAGGTCTACATTCATTGTCATTGAATGAGTTTAGAGTTGAGATCGAGAATTCTGGACCATCAGTTTGCTTTTCCATTGTAACGTTATCATCATATTCACAACTTGTTCTCAATTGTTCATCTTCTTGATTCGAGGAATTATCAGTCCATCGATGGTCTTGAAAATTCGATGAATGATCTTGAGATTGTTGAAATTCTCTAGCAAGACAAGTAAATTGATTTCGTAAACTCGCTAATTGCTCAAAAGTATTCGTTGCAAGTTTTTCTGCTTGCTGCTCAAGTTCTTTTTGACATTTTAAACTGCCTTTTCTTAGATCCGATTTAAAAAATGAGCGATGGACATCCACCATATCTTCAATACGAATGAAAACCTCCCGCATTTTCTTTCGAAAATGATACAAAGATTCATCAAGATCATGCTCTTTTGACAAAGTAGTACCCGATTCTTTCTCGTTTTCGTTAAAACGTTGGAGACTCATACGATCGAATGTCTTAAATTTCCTTCCATGAAATTCATCTTCCAATTGATTTTCATTACTAGATGACGACAACGAAGCTCGAGGTTTGTGTATTTCATCAAAAGCTGACGTTCCATGGTACATTGGAGCTTTAAGTGGTGACTCCGCACTACGAATCGAATCAACTTTATCGTTCAAAAGTAATGATTCAGCATTTCTATTCGAAGATGCTAGGGATTGTGATTCCAGTAAAGCACTTGGATTATTTGAGAATTCACGACTCAAATAGTCTGATCTGTCTACCTCATTCCATCGAGATGCGTTCACATGATCCTCAGAAAGAAACTCGTCCGTCTCGTGCTGATTATTCAATCGACACGAAGTCAAAGAACTTTCATCCTGAAATGAATTTCGTCTTTCATTCGATTGACTGTCGCGTCTACTCCTTTGTTCACTTGAATATTTGTTCAATTGATCAGAGTCTGCATATGAACGGCGTGAAGGCTCTCTACACTTAGAAAAACGAGATAAAATCTCATCTTCGTGGTGATTAAGTGAGGAAGAAACTACGTTCTCGTTCCAATGACTCAAGTCTAATTGTCGAGGTCTTGGACGTTCAGAAACACAAGAGTCACTTCTTAAAGGCATTTTCTGGAGCTAGAATGAATAACTGACGTAATTATACAATTGAATTGAATGCTAGATGGAAAGGTCGCAAAGCTTGAATAATCCCATTTGAATATATAACGATTTCTATTCTAGAATGAATCACTATTACTTGCAGCACTAATAAAATAATCACCATAAGTTCACATAAATTAACTGAAGAATCCAATTTACGTACCTAGATTCAGCAAAAGATCCATTTGAAAGCTCTAGTTCTTCCTCTGAGTCACTATGAGTATACAAATGTTCTTCTTCTTGTTCTTCTTTCGCCTTTTCTTCCATTTCTTGTTCTAGACTCAATTGTCGTTGCTTTGCTTCAAGTTTTCGTGCAAGAACTCGTTGTCGGTATACATCAATGATGTTTTCATCCACTTTCTTGGTAATTATCTCGATACTTTCGTGTATCTCTTCACTCTCATCATCTCGTTTCGATATCTTCTCGAAACAATCTGTAGCAACACTTAAATCTTCTAAATTCTCATAATCAACAATTTCTTCCACGTTTTCATTCGCAGCATGAATGAAATTCGTTTCGATCTCAATGTCTTGAACACTTACATCTTGACTTGAAAGATCTTCGCATGTAACTTTAACATCATCACATTCTACTACTTGAGTCTCTCGAATATAATTCTCTTCTATCATCATTTGTACGTTTTCTTCTTGTTGCCAACGTGCTTCTTGTTCCAACTCTACTAACTCTCGTTGAAACTGCATCGAATCATCTTCTTGTTTCTTCATCTCATATTCTTCACATTCTTGACGTTTCTTCTCTTCATCTTTTCGTTCTTTATCAATTTTTTCTTGAATTTCTCGTTCTTTACAAATCTTTTCATACTCTTCAACATCTCGTTTCTTCTTTTCATTCTCAATTTCAACTTTCATCTTCATCTGCTTTTCCTCTCGTTCACATTTCATCTTTTCATCTTGAACTTTTCTCGCTTCTTCCAAACTTTCACGATCTTTTCTTTCCTCTTTTCGATCCATTTCATCTTTACATTCAACTTTCACGAAATCTTTCACTTCATTTCGATCAATTTCCATTACTTTTCCTTCATCTTGTTTTAATCTTTCCATCTCTTCATCATATAAACAAGAAACTTTTTGTTCCATTCTACTCTTTCGTTCGTTTTCCATTTCTTTCATTCTTTTCTCTCGTATATTCGAATCATTTTTTAACTTTCTTTCTCTCTGGTCTTCATTAAATGATGCATGACCTTCATTCTTTTCGTATCCTTGCCAATCTGATACTTGCTTGTTGTTAAAAAATTGCGACATATCACACCATGTTGCATGACTGTCCATCATTCTTATACGATTCCAACGTTCACTCTCTTGTTGCCGATTGCTTCGGAAACTTAATACATCTCTTACACCACTGTGTTTCAACGTAATTGCTGTTTGAGCTTGAGTTAACAATGTACTTAAGTTTGAAACATCACGTCGTAAAGCATCGACCTGAAGTTTTTCATCCTCATATTGAGTTTGATACTTTTCAGCTAATGTTTCGGCTTCTGCTACTCGAGTTGCTAATTCGCGACTTTTCATAAGCAACTCATGAATTTTCCATTGTGAACTTGCACGTTCTTCGTCTATTATTTGCATCATTTTTTGCCTCTCATTCACAATTCCAGTGGCTTCATTTAATTTGATATCAAGAATTTGTTGCTTTAACGTTTCAATTTCACATGTTGCTGCTGTAAGTTGCTCTTTCCTTTTGACATTTTTGGTTTTATAATGTTCAACTTGCTTTTGTGTCATTGTTGCATCCGCAATTAGACGAATGTTGGTCATGTCAACATTGTTAAACTTTGTCTTGTACTCTTGAAGTTGCTTTTCTAACTCAACCATCTTTTCTTGATAATGTTGCTGGTCTACATGAAATCGTACAGTCGAATGTTGAGTCCTTTGAAGTTCGTCTTTTGTTTTCTAAAGTGAAAAAAATGTACTGTTAAAAAAAAGTCACAACTTTATGCGAACAAGAACAAATTTGTATCGTACCAATAATGCTGTTTCTAACTCAGTCTTTTGATGTTGTAAGCTCAAAACTTGATCCTGTAGTGTCTTTAACGACTTCATCTCAATCATTAAAGCATGTTCACGTTGTGTAAGTGCATTTCGTTGCGTTTCCAAGTCATTTAAAGCGTGCTGTCGTTCAAGATTCCAAACTCGCTCTTTTTCTCGTATGGCTTGAGCAATTGTACTCTCAACATTCTCTTCGTGCAATCGTACACTTTCTTCCCATCTTTTCACTCTTTCTGTCTCATTCATAAAATATCGAGAATCTCGCTCCATTTTCACTTGGAGTTCTGCTTCTTTTACTCGTAACTTTTCTTTGTCTTGAAATAAAGTCTGACGAATCTCAAACAATGAAGTTTCAAGCTCCGTTTTACGTGCAACAAATGCAAGTTCCAAATCATGTTGACGTTTTTCAAGATTTTCTTGTTTAGTACGTGATTCTTGCAATAATATTGCACGAAGATTGTCAAGTTCTCGAGTAAATCGTTTTCTTTCTTCAGTTCGTACAAATGCAATTTCATTTCCTTTCAAACGTTCAATTTCTTCTTCAAGTCGTTGAGTACAAATCGCATCATATTCTCGTTGATATTGAATCATACGTTCTTCTAATGACTTTTGAGGTTCTAGTTTTTGAGCAGCACATTCTTGAAAGTAAATCTTTTCAACTCGTCGTAGTTCATTTTCTAGAAATTATAACAATATTTATGAACAAGAGCAATAATATTGAATTGAGACTTATCGAAACGTACCAAGTACAAGACGATGATCAATGCAATCCATAGCAGTTTGAGTTCCTGAGTCGATTGTCGTGAGTTGAAAACGACGTTTTAGTTCTTGTAGAAGGATGAGAAGTAAGGATTGACCTGTTTGATCTTGTTCTTGTTTCTGCAGCAATAAATTATTGTGATTAAACAATACAATAAACAACTCCAAGTTTCATACCAGTCGATCTTGAATCTCCGACGTTATATGAAGTAACTATTCATTCCCAATGAGTAAATTTGTCATACAATAATCAAGAAAAGTTCTACCTGAAGAATTGTGAAGCTATCAACTTGATTCTGAGACCCTCCGACTTCAGGTACAAATACTGCTAAAGTATTTTCTAATCCTTTGGTTGTGAGAAATTCAACTATCAAACCATTCACTAGCTTTTCATCAGGTGTTAAGCTCACAATGTTACAAGTTGTTTCATTCTCTCTATCTTGATTGTTACGTTGCTGTTGAAGTTTTTCAATAAATCTTCGTCGTAGTTGTGCCTAGTTCAAATATCAGCAATATCAAATCATATCAAACAATTTATTGCTTACCCGAATGAGTTCAACTGTGCCATTATCACGAATAGATTGAAACATTCCTTCTTTAAACTCTTCCAGTGTCATTAATGGATTTCCATCGCCATCTCGTACTAATGAACGCAATATCTTGTTCTCATCCATTGAAATCTAAGAAATGAAAGGTCACATTGTATCCAATAAAACAAGATTACAAAAAAAAACATTTCAACAATATATTATTCAATTTATACATCTCCCACTTCTGATTAGCCTAAATCCATAGCGACTCATCATCTTCATCTTCACTTGAACTCTCTTCATCATTTGGATTCATACTTTCCTCATCATCTTCTTTCTTCGCTTGCTCTCTCTCGTCATCTCGCTGAGCTTTCATCTGCATGAGTTTATTCACAACTAAAGTAGCTCGAATTTGATCCAAAATTTCTTTTGGAATATCATTCTTAATCAACTGAACCATCACCAATGATCGATTTTGTAATACTGCTTGCAGTATAGCTTGTCCCCCCTTTTCACCAATATTATTGTTAGCCAATCCAAGATATTTGAGCGAAATATTGTATGGCAGCATTTGAGCAATTGCAATTGCTCCATCATTCCCCAATTTATTGCTCGACAATCCTAAATGTTCCAGTGATTCGTGACCATACAAAGCCTCACTTAGTGCACTAGCTCCATTGGCTGTAATCACATTGCCTCGAAGATCTAAATGCTGCAATGTATTGTTTGCTCTAAGCATATTCCCCATACTCTTAGCACCAATATCACCAATATCATGTCCAGGTAGTAACAGACGTAAAACTGTACGATTCAATGCAAAGACACGACCAACGAGATCGCCACCTGAAGCGCAAAGTTTACGTTTCTTCGCTGCCATATCTTTGAGATCAAGTTCACGAATTTGATCTTTATTCGCTCGAATTTTTTCAAGAATTTCTTTTAATGTAGCGGTAGGACGTTGTGTCACAAGATGCGTATCATGGTGACGTACAGTCATAGCAGAAAGCACACAAGTCATTATGTCTTCTTCAGATACTTCTGTGGTCATAAGATGCCTAATGAGTGAAAGATATGTTGTACATAATTGTTACATAGGGTTGAAACTATACGATATCCGGTTAATTTGGATCTTAATATTCTAGAATATTCTAGGAGTCTATATAAAAGTGAGACTTTAGGTGGATACTTACACTTGACTGCAGATGAATGTGGAGCATGCTGTGGGTAATATAATAAACCGTACCTTATCGAAGATTCGCGCAAGAAATTTTGATAATTTCAAAATGATCATAAATATTGCGCTTGTAGATCGAAGCAAACACACAATAGTCAAAACAGATTGAGTTTGACGTTCAATGTACGCAGTTTGTCAACGAGCTGTTTGTCAGAAATTTGCAGTTAAGTCTGTCCCGATAACAGCTTGGACTAGACGTAACAGATGCAATCATTTAACAATTTGTCGTCGTAGACGTTTAAGTATAATGGAATGATGAAATGCAATGGAATGCGTTGATCACTTGCTTCACGCATCTAGTTAGTGAATAATGATGACATATCTGAAGTGCTATGCACTAACGAAATGTGAAGCATTTAGGGTATGAATTCATGTTGTAATTAAGCTCTGAAGATCTTGTGCAGCGTCTCAATTTTGCATCATGAGGGCAACAGACACGATAATGACTCGCAATCGAATATATCAAGTGTTGTGGAAAGTCTTCGAAAGATCGAGCCCAATGGCGTCTCACGAGAATGACCAAACTTGGATGGGAAGGTTGATCAATGGAGACACGCTTCTAGCACCACCTACATTTTCTACTACCACGGCGAACAAACGAGCGATTTACTCTTACTCATGAATTCGATAGCTATTGTCAATCCGACAAACTTAACCTCAAATTTGCGCTTCGCTGGCTTTCAATTTGGTGAACAATTTACTTTATACTCGTAAAGAGGCTGGAACCGAGGAGAGCGAGCACAGAGCTGAAAGAATGCAAGTGCGGTATATTTCAAGCTGATTCGCAGCAAGACTAGAAAAGGAAAGATAAAAGCTATTCCGCCGTAGCGCCTACTCACTCTATTGAGCTGATAGATACAGAGGCTTTTACAATGACTTCAACACTTCATCAGATGACTACTAAGCTAGCAGATTTTCAAGCTTTGCTGTAGCCTTCAAACTCGTGATTTCATTGTTGTAATCGCTTCAACGTTGAAACTTCGAGCAAACCGAGGGTCCAACCGCTTCGGCCAATAGACGAATAAGGTGCTTGAGGAAGATCAGCGTTAATTATATCAAAAGTCGATATAGTTACAATTTTATGGGATGAAGCTTGCAAACTGATTGGTGCCGAAATCCTAAAAGCAGCGCTTTAGATGTGATGTCTTGTAGAAAGTATCTTTTCTTGTGATCTGTAGGTTGATGGCTGTAAGAGAGACACATCAATTGTCGCTTGCAGGAGCCAAATATTGATTTAAAGTCGTTGAAACGCCTGCATTTATACTAAAAAAACATTTCAGATCTCAAAGTCAACAGGAAGGCAAAATAAGTAACGATAAGGCCTGGCGAAGGAGATCGTGATTTTTTTTAAAGTTCAAAATATGAACACAAAAGGAAAAACTTGCGTTAGCAGCAGGGATCGAAGTCGTTGATGCTTGCAGCTATTACAGCATAATCATTTTGTATGTACCAAGATCTATATAAAGGTAAGTTAGATTGTCTATAGGAATATCAAGTCCAAAAACCATTACGGCACCATCGCATCAAATCTATGCATCAGCTGAAATGCTTTTCAAAATTGCAGAAACATCTCCCACAGCACTAGGACATACTTACAAGCATGAGAAGAGGTACCGAAAAGTACCACAGATGTCGCATAATCCTGTTTCGAATGAACATTGTTCTATATATGTGACTAATTTGACTTCTGATCATAGACATCGTTGACCTCGCAGTGGATACCGTTAAGTTGTAGCGTCGCTAGAGAAAACAAAAACTGCAAAATCTATTGAGTAAATACTAAGTGAGTATGTCACAACTAGCAGCCACTATTGAGTCAACGCACAGCACAATGCCCGTTGAAAATCAGACAGATGCTCTTGCCATCTCAGAAAAACGATTCTGCTAAAAGTTTATTAAAGGATTCAAGTGCACGATGCACTAGCATTCGCTGTGCTATTCTGTTTATGATTTTTTCACTTCTCAATATTCTCAATCAAGATGCGATCATTATTTTCGTTTGTTCTGACCATAGCTTTCATCGTTGAATCCGTTCACGGTAACGACTGTTCTAAATTTTCACTAATGAAGCTTGCATTTAGCAAGAACCTTGCTGGTTGTACATCTGATACTGGTTTGAGCTTATCGACTATTTCGGCTCTAACGACGGATCAGATCAAGGAGATTTGTAATAGCTCTTGTTGTATGGCATTTATGGATGACATAGCATCAGCAAACCTTGGTGATTGCACTATTCCAGGAAAGAACGTCTCAGTGCAGAGTGACATCCTTGATCAGGTGGCGATATTGTGTCGCGATAACAACTAAGCAAGATGATAAAGATATATGCGCTTGAAATTATTCGGTGTTTTTAGATAAGAAAAGGAAGTTCTTTCACTTGATGTTGGAAGCCTTTCAATTTTCGCATTAACTTATCAATATAACTTTGAAAGATACTTTTTTAAATTGTATTCATAAATTTTTGGAAGCATAAATATGGAGTAACTGAAAGTTAGCAGATCAATTGACTAGCATTGAAACAGTCTAGCAACCCTGCGAGGTAATCTTCTGTACCTTAGCGCACTGGAGTTAATGACTACCGAACTCCGCAGCAAACGAGACTGTACGTTCCCGACATCTACACTAACTGCTTCGCTAACAAAAGTCAAAACGCAAGATACGCTTGAAATACCAATGCGATCCCCGGATGAAGAATGCTGAGATGATAAATACGTTTGACATCTAAGAAAGATTTTAACATTAGCATCATTTAAAGTGAGAATTTGGTATACTTCCTCAGTGAAGTTACTCCGCAATCCAACACCGATGCGTGAGACTTCCAACAGCAGAAAAAATACGACATATTGGCGTTCCATTGAGGCCTTTTATGGTGAAGCATACGCTCCTTCAGGAGATTTATTACCACTCCAAATCAGAAATACCGACAATTTTGACGGAAGTGCACTCTTCTAGTTACACTTGTCCAGCCAAATTTTGGCTACAATGTGCAAGCAAAAGAGGCAATGCATGCCATTAAATTTCGTTCTGTTGATATGCTAATACTGATGGACTCAGTTGAGGTTGATATAGCCGCTAGTTCGAGGATATTGGTGGTGGTAGGAAATATGCTCTACCGATTGCGGTCGGACCAAAGAAAGTAAGGTGTCACAGTAATTAGCTTCTTAATCGCACCACACTCCATCACATCTGAAAACTTTCGAGCAGAACGACGTCAAAATTAAGCCTTAAGATGGGGTAATGTATGATAGTCTAACGGACGCATGGACGCCGTTATGCTAGGAACAGGAGTTAGACTTCGCCATGAGAAAGGTGCCGCATGACCTTGTGGCTAAACCGCCGATTCCACGTAAGCTGTACTGCAAGAATAGCATGATCGGCTGCCCTTTGAGCAATGATAGCTGCAAGGATGCATGTATAACTTGGATGCGTACAAAAACGCTTAACAGTGAAGTGCAAACACGTGCTAAACTCCACATTGGCGCCGGGGCGGAGCCCAAAGGCCCCCGGCCACCTAGAAGCTGTATCGGCAACTGGTTCAGAGCACGTAGTACAACAACTTGTAACCCGTTACAGTATTATTACACCGACTTGTGTAATCCACACCTTTGTACGGTCGACCCCACAACTTTGAGTAGCTATTCGTCAGCTGAAAGGCAATTTGAATAAGTCACTGCCGTCATCCGCATTGTATAGATCTACCCACTGCTTGTTTGACGGAAGACGGCCGTCTTACTGCATCAGCATTCGAATTTGGTCCCCGCAACGTCCAATGCGCTTATTCGGTTCTTCAAACGGCGACTGTACTATCAAGAAACCACAGTCAAGCTACAAGTTTAGTTTAACACTGGCAGTTTGAGTGATGTAACGACTGACTGTATATGAAACTGTTGGATTCAGCAAGCGTTGGAAATGCAAACTTGTCTGCCGAGATACGGCGAGCTAAGGGCTAGACAAATGCTCTTAACACCGAGGTATTGATGATCTTATGAAGCTATCGATCGGGATAAATTGTCACAAAATGTTAAGGAATACATATATATATGTATAAATCGGTGTAGACGTAAAATTTTACATACCGTCAGACATGAGTAGTGCCTGCAGTAAAACGTGAATCTGGGAGTGGGATGATGATCCTGTCGTAATGGCATCAGCAGCAGCACTTGGAACGAGTACTCGACTTGCGTGCTCCGAGTCAGTGCGATTACGACACACAGCGTGATCAAGACATGTTGCAGCATTAACGAAGCTACTGAGCACTCGAGCTATAGTACGCAAGCCTCAAACAGCAATTTCATACATATTGAATTTGCTGTAAATGACCACCTCGTTAAAGGATACACCTGTAAGAACAGATCAATCGTTCATCAATTAGATGGTGTGACTATAAGTGTCATTGTTTGTCTGCTTCTACAACTCAAGCTAATATTGGTTGCTTAGGCACGTGCTGAAAAACCACCTACAAAAATGAAACTCACGAACAAACAACGCGAAAAAAGTGAATAAACTCTTACCTATTTGGTCGGCAATATACACTGAAACACTTTTTATCGACAATAGTGCAAACGTGCAAAACTCATTGATAAGTTATTGTGTACTTCTACTGTGGTGCGTTCCTATCAGATTCGCGTTTGTGTCGACTGTATTTCGACGAAAACATTAGACCAATTATTTAACCCTTAGATCGTCATTACATCAGATTCATCTGTTAGGTTTTGGCCCACTTGCTCTAAATTTCGAGGCTTCACCTTTTTGCAGTAAGTTGTTCAACATTACTTGCTCTGAATCAGGGCTGAATGAGAGTTTCTACTCTATCTTTATTTTCAAGAAATGGCGATGGCTGCCACGACCGCTTCATCAAAACGACCCGCATATGAGCTAAATTGCAAATGCGACACACAAAACTGGTCGCATCGAGACCATCATCTTTCTCTTAGAATCTGATTAATTTAAGCCCATGAGAAGAACCGACACAGGTTCGCTCGTATGTTTGCGGATTCCTCCTTCTTCCGTTTAAACAAGTGATGAAGTCACTCTTAGCAGCGGTACAGCCAGAAGTAAGTGGTATGCTCAGAATTGTCGGATGACGATAATAATCGCATAATGTTATTTATGCCGCAATCTCAAGTTCTGTATTTAGTTTTGGTGGATAAAGTATGAGACTTAATTCTCTGGAAAAGGTAATGCCGTAGAACCAGCATGTATATGAATGCAGATAGCGTACAACAGACTGAAATATAGACATGCGTTTACATAAAACTGAAGATGTGCTTATCAGCAGTGTCTGAGACTGTGCAGCACAAGGCGAATGAAGCGAGACCACAACTAATCGACTAGTCTACAGGCTCACAAACCAATGACTACAGCTATGACCCGGTTGTCACGTAAGCAAATAGACATGCAGGATCTAGTAGATCAGGTAACAACGTAGCAGCTGACATTCACCAAAATTATTCTGGCCAAGGGTGCAACTCTAGGCTTTTAACAGCTCTAAAGTGGATGAAAGGAATGAGAAGATGCATATGAAGCTGATGAAGACAGATGTGCCGCAACAAACAAATACCATGCGTATACCCGCACAGACACGTCCAACAAGGACAGATGTTTACCCAGAGGCACTAACTCAGTCCATCTGGACATTACAGGTCTGGATTTGGGGGTCCCATTCAAAATGGAGCATTGTCAATAGCGATAGTTGGTGTCAGTGTTGATCGAGCGACTGTTTGTCAAAGACGTCAAGGTAGTTGCTCTTATTTTTAAGTCTGTTGCGCTCCTGCGAGTCATTTCGAAATACTTCTTTTCTAATTGCTATGATTTCGTGGTGTATTTTACCAAGTGCGCCAGAATTTACTTTGGTGTACAACGTCCGCCTCGGCGCTAAGCTAAATTATTGGGAATGCTGAAGGCCCAAGAGATTGTCGACAGAATTGCACCAAAATACCCGTGAAGACTTTACAAGTTGCAATTCGCTTAATTTAATGCTTGGCAGGTAACTGTACTGCCGTTTTCAAGGCTCTGAAATGTGGAAAAGGCAAAATAGAATAGCTTGATATGATACTGACAGCTGGTTGCTATACCTTTTTAGTACATTAACATTTTTGCGTTGCCAAGAACACCTATCCATATTGGCAAATACTTTAAAAAATGCATGCAATCGAGCACTACTCGCAAATGTTTTATATGGCTCTCCACATCTGATGCTCTGCTCGACTATAAACAAAAATCTCGCTTAAAAAGGCTTGTACATTGTCCTCCAGGACGGCGTCATCCAGAAGCGACGACGAGCTGATCTTTTATTCCGGTCCTATAGTGGCCACTTTGGCTAAGTCGCCTACCTTCAAGGCACCACCGAACACTTCGAGGGACATCTCGTCTTGCTCAAGAAGCACCCACCGCAGGAATAGCCTCGAGGGTAACGTCGCCGTCTTCCTCCCCGTCATATCGTTGACGAGGGTGTATAGCTGTGCGCTATCGTCTCCAGTAGGCACATCATGGGTCAATCGACGCCTGGCGTCTTGCAGCTAGCATACGGCGTCGCTGTCGCCTCTTCACAAAGGTTGTATGTCTCGGCGAGACCCGCACCCAGCGTCGTCCGGTGTTAGCCTCACTTACTGCCCTACCGGGGTCCTGATGTTATTAATAACATCAGACGAAAAGCTGCTAGCTCCGCAGTCTTCGTCCAGTGGATGAAGTGCCACTCCACGCGCATCTGAAGTGCTTTGCTCAAGATGCCTCAGATCTCGTCCGACCATACCACTCGTGGCACGAAGCGACTGCTCCGATACTTAAGCAGCGCTCAGTGGGCTACGTGCCACTATACGTTCAGCCTGCCAGCCATGCTTGAGACCCCTGTACGATACACATTCGGTATTCACTAGCTCAGATAATCAGATCTCCAGCACGCTGAACGTCCCGGTCCAGTGTCCGCGCCAATAACATTTTCGCCTCCTAGCAGTGGTGGGTTCATCTCACCAAAGCTCCACCAGGAGACGTGCGCGTAGCGCCCAAGGTATTCGACCTCAACTCGATCTATGGCTCATGGTGTTCCAACCATGCCATACCAAGGATGAGGTCATATCTTGAGTCCATGTCTGCAGCTTTCCACGCTATCAAAGTTAAGAAACTCGACATCAACGTCCACAAGGACCTTCGGCACAGTGGCGATGTCACTCGAGCGCGCTTTCAGCGCCCCAGCATACAGCTGACTGTCTTCTATCGTGGAGCGTCGAGCATAATTGCCCAGTGCCCCGGAGTCGATCAGGACTTTCATGGCTTCTTAAAGCCCTTCACGGTCGCTTTCACGACCAGCAAGCCCGGCTTGTATACACGTTCCGTATTTAATAGCACGGAGCTCTCAGGGCTAAGCCGAAGCTCAATACCACATGCCCTGCTTCTTCAAAAGAAGACGGGTGCACATAGAGGACTTCCATTCCGGCCAGGCCAGTGCGGAGGCCGTCCATAACGACTGTTACTGTGACTGCCTCGCATGGCAAAAATAGCGATTGCTCGCAATATGACTGGTTAGGTAGCAAGAACACTCGTGAAAGCTGCAGCTGCAGCTTCAGCTCTGTCCAGGAGAGAAATGCCGCTTCGACCGAAGTGCCGCACAACAATGCTCATTACCCCCCCC